AATGGGTGAGAAGATGAATGCATATAAGATATTGGTGGGAAAGTCAGAAGGAAAGAGACAACTAGGAAGACTAAGATGTAGGTGGGCAGATAATATTAAAATGGATCTTAGAGATAGGATTGGGTGGTATGCACTGGATCTAACTCAGGATAGGGACCAATTGAGGGCTCTTGTGAACACAATAATTAACCTTCAGGTTCCATGAAATGTTGGGAAGCCCTTGAGTAGCTGCACAGCTGGCAGCTTCTCAAGATGGTCTCAGCCCCGTGAAGTTAGTAATATTAAAATTTTATGAATGAGGGAGTAGTCTTATATTAACATTTATAGCTCAGTAAGTATATTGGCACCATTGGCAAAAATATTCCTTCTTTTAAAAATAACTGTAAGAGATACATTTGAAAGTTTACTTCTGCAAATGCTTTTTGTTTCACCATAGGGTGTATATATATATATATGCACAGGCTTCAATTTATAATGCTGTGAATGTCACAGTTTCTTGGCTAGTGAGTAGGATTTATTGGTGGAAGCTCACAGTGGCATGGGACTATCATGTAATTAAACCCCAGTATTTTGGACAGGAATATTAACACTGAGAGAGAGAAATTGAAAACTGCAACACATGCTGACAGAGCATTACAAGAGATGTACTATATGCTAAAGAGGCCTTGTTTTATGGTTAAAACACAGCATTTGATATTGAAAATGGTATACAAAAAACTGCCACAGTTGTGTAGTGAACCAAACAGTTTGTATTTTCTCCTTTTGTTGATTGTAACCGTGTCATTGGAAAGTGTAAAACATACAATCACACATCCTGACTCAGTGCTGTAACTGTTGCATTGCCTGAGTGCCTGCTGATTCAGCAATCCATTCTTTGTCAATAAGCAGTGTTTTGTTTTACTGGCTACTGTACAGGGACAGATTTCACTTCACTGAGTATTGGGTAACATTTAGTTTAATTTAATGGATATTAATTTGCTTCTTATGATACTGGGACCTATCATTATGAGATATGTAATTTCATGAAATATGAATTTAATGGCATTGTCAAACAGTGGCACATTGGCCTCATGTGGCTCACACACAGTACAGCGAAGCTTCATGCTGAAGCTGATCACTCACCTCAGTCTAGTCCTGATTAAATGTGTGGAACCTTACTTCCAAACCTCCCTCATGGCAAGGTGCTTGTACAAAGGGATAACTTTATTTGTACCCTTTGTATTTCATAGATTCTCTAGTATGACTATGTAAATGTGCTGCATCATTGTAACAGGTGAGTCAGTAAAGTGACTCACCATAGGCTGGATGGCTGGGGTTAAAATTCTGTGAGCAGCATTAGGATATTTTTCCTTATTATCATGTAAGTGTTGACTCTGGAATTGGCTAAGTTTCCTATCCAGAAGTTATTGTGGACAAGGAAAGGATTGGCTTTCAACGGACTACATGGTGTTATATCGCAGGAAATAGTGTTTTTCTTAACTACCACTGTGAAAATATTGAATCCTGAAGGGAATGGATAATTCCATTAATTTCAGTCAGGTCCTCCTCTTGTAACCATTTTTCAAAACTGCTTGGAAATTGGAAAAGGAGATAAGCTGTTGCATTTTAGATATTTAGTTTTACATCCTGAACCTGTGTATTGTACTCATTTCATAGTATTATTGAAGTAATAATATTAAGTAAGTTGTGAGCTAGGCATGGACAAGGGTCAGTAATTGTATACCTGTGTTGGTAGAAAATCCTCTTGGATAGTGGTCATTTGCAGGTCTCAAACAAATGTAGGTGGGTAATACTGCAGTGAAGCTTCAGGAGATTGTGGAAAGGTACACTGATTTTATACGTGTAAGATGCTTTTATGAGTAAGCTCTGTTGAAACGTGGAACAGCTCAAAAGACAGTGAAAGGATTTCTTAATGTTCACCCATTTTAATCTTGAGTTCTCTTTGAACTCACAGGTTCTCATTACTTGAGAACTGAAATTTTGTATTTTCCACACTGCACAATACATCATCAGTTCCTTCTTCTGTACTTGTTGATGGGCTTGCTGGATGGCTTTATTAATCATCAGTCAGGATAACCTGAAATATATAACTATTAGCATATGTATGTAAACTTATGTTTATACCAGCTTTGTTTATTTGTATGATGAAAAAGGCACTGAGTATCCTTTCAGTGTACTTTGATTATGTTGTCATAGGTTACTGTTAATGAGCCTGTTTGTGTGTTTGGATGACCTGAATTGTAATGAAGGAATACAAGTCAGTTTAATTTAATGAAAGAGGAGTAGGCAGTGAAGGCTCAGGATAAGATCATACACATGTTGTGTTTGGGCACTCACTGTAGCTTAATATAAGAAATGTGCATGTTATCTCACATATGGATGTTTTATCAAGATTTTTTAAAGTAGGGCAGTGATCAAACAGTGTGCAGCTTTGATGATTTACAATTCTGCTTGATATCAGTTTTGTTTAAATAGTACATGTTAAGGTATGTTGTATGGTGGTATGGTTTAACATATTGCATCTTTGAATGAGCAAAGTTTATGTCCTGTGCCCCTTATGTACTGTCATGTAACCGAAACTAGTACAGATAAGGTTACGTTACATAAATTATATTCTGTGGTTTAGTTTGTGGTTTATCTTCTCAGTCATGCTTCCCTAGAAATTTCAGTGTATGGAAGTTGAGAATAATATACACACCTCAATCTTCAGTGTTAAGAGCTTCCGGAATCTGTGTGTGTGTGTTGTGTTGTGTTACCTTGTGACACTCTGCTATCATTTTGAATTTGAGTTTGGTATTTATGTTAATAGTCCAATGATGGTCATGGAAGATCTAGTGCATGTGAACTTGTAGTTTTGTTAGCACTTTAAATCTAGCTTTGATACTAACTCCAACAGGTCAATCAGATGCCAGTGAATGCCCTAGTACTTCTGGTAGAATAGTTTGGTTAGGATAGTTTTCTATTACCTGAAATTTATCAAATATAACCTCATAGTGCCATATTGTCACTATTTGTAGTCTTTAATGCAGAAGCAATGTTTCATTTAAAATGTATTTGTATCACTATCTTTATGATCTATTTTCCACACTAAGGCTTACAGGCTGGGCTACAGAGGTTCATCAGTTGTTAAGTGAAGAGGAAAATGTGGATTTCATGTTGCTTTATATGGTAAACAAAAGAAGCTGCTTATTTTTCAAAGATCTGATGCAAAACATGTTGAAGGCTGTTAGGATGATGGTCACTGTATGATGTATATAGGATGTTAAGAAAAAGGGAGTTTACAGGCTTTAAGTGGGTATAGTAGCTGTTTAAATGAGCAAAAAGTCCCAAGTCAACATATATCCAGAAACAAGTGTCTGCTGAAATATGGGTGATGGTGTGTGATCTCTCCAGCAAGTGCTGTGTATGGGTTCCATGAATTTGAACACATCTTTCAGCTCTTCATTGCACAGAGGCGTGCATTCTCAAAATTTTCAGATTCCACTTGAATCTCCTGACAGGCATTCTCTTCTTGTTACTGTAGTACTTCTAAGTCATTGATCAGCACTGAATACACCAAAGTATTTTGGTGGCCCCACAGCCAATAATGCAGAGGATTAAGATCATGGGATAATGCCGGCCAGTTGACTGGGCCTGTCTGTCCTATGCTCCATTCACTGAAAGTCTGGTTCAGGTGCTGTCTCACAGTGCATAGAAAATGAGGTGGTGCCCCATCGGGTATGGACGACATGTGTTCCAAGAGTGCTGGTAAATCATTTGCCAAAAAACAGTGGTACACAGCATCTGTTAGTCTGTTAGGTAAGGCAACTGGGCAACTGAGTTGATCACGTAAGGTGCCCACCCAGATATTGGCGAAAAATCAATGTTGATGTCTTGATGTTATGGTGGTGTGGAGATTGTCATCCACACAGACATGGGTATTATGAAAGTTCATAATGCCATCACTTGTGAATCCCACTTCATCAGCAAACAGGATGTTAGCTGCAAACTGTGTGTTTATGATGAATTTTGCAAGAAGGCGCTGGTAAAACAACGCCCTTACACAGTGGTCAGGAGGAGTGAGGGCTTGCATTCGCTGGATGTGGTATGAGTAAAGTGAGTGTTCATGGATAATTCTCCAGGTCAGCGGAACAATGATGCCTTCAGCAGCTGAAATTTTTCACACACTGGTTCTGAGATCTTCCAGTCTTCTCAGTATGAATGCTTCTTGAAAACTTGCCCGTATGTCAGCAGGCATTGATTTCTGGACATAAGTTGCTTGGGACTCTTTTGCTCATTTAAATGAGTACTGTGCCCCCTTAAAGCCTGTAACTCCTCTTCTAACACCTGTATGCATGTGTGTGTGTGTGAGTTGTTTGGTAGTTGTTAGTTGTGAAAGATCTACAGTGACATGATAGTGCCATAAATAAGCTGGAATAAAATGAAAAATTGCTTGTATCATCATAACCAAATAGAAATATTAATTTATTTTTTGGTTTATTTAATTACCCTTTCAGTAGCTCAGTTATGTCACCAATTGATAGTATGAATATTGAATAATGAATTGGAAAGGGTTTGAAATGAAGCAGTTGTAGATTAGTTTGAGGTACTAGTCCAGCATTTTCCTGAAAGGACCGAATAAAACCAAAAGTCTCAGTCAAGGTAGCCAAATTGTCAGGCTGGCATTTGAACTCAGGCCCTCCTGAATAAAATGCAGGAATGCTACCCACTCTCTTGCAATGCTCTGTATGGCAGTAAAATTAACTGTTCCATCATTATATGCTACCACACGTACCAGTCACGAGTACTGCATCGTGGATGATAAAGCAAAGGATCCTATAGGTCCTGTGTTCCTGTTTCAAAACCAACAACAAGCAAAACATAAATGAAAATCAAAATTATTTTGTAAAAGTAAATTATTTTCAAGTTATGGGGGCTTCTATGAGTGAATATAATATGTCAGACAAAATGAAGTTCTAAAATATCAGTAGCATGTCTTAACATGCCTATTTACTTTCCAGGCCAGCCAGCGTGTGGGCTAGGATGGGGAGGCCGTTCATTACTACGGCTGTATGTTGTGTGTTCTGCTTCCTTTGTGCAGAGCATGCACAGTGTTCGCTCCATCGCCATGCTACACTACTCTCCAAAACACACAACAGTGTAGGGACTCCTAGGCAGGTTGCATATTCCTCATCCATTTATACATCTTTGGGGGATGTATTAAGGACACAGAGAAGGCGACGGAGTGATGGCAGTGATGTGAATCGACATGACGGTGACACTTCCAGCCATACTGGCCATGAACATCATAAGAGTCATATAGATATGTCAAGTGATAGTTGCAGACACACGAGGGATACTTGGGATGTTTCGGAGGAGCAGGTGTTTGTGAAGAGGTTGTTTTCACAGTTTGGTGAAGGGGACACCATGACATTTGAAGGTTTCGAACGTCTCCTTCGAACTGTTGGACTGCAGCGGCTCATATCTCCAGCGAGAGGTGGTCATTCCTTGAACAGTGTACCACTGTCCAATATAGCCAATGTCAAGCTTGAAGCAAATGGTAAAGAATATTGCTGGTATTCATACTGAAGTAGATGTATATGTAAAGTTTCTAAAGTAAGCAGTATATCATGCTGTTACTGTGCCACCTTTAACCATGTGAACCCCTCTCTTTAAGGAATGCATCCTTTTGTGTGTTAGTACTACGTACATGAGTTTTTGTTTTTCCTGTCAAACACAACAAACACCAAGTACGTCACATTCTACTATACATAACTGAGTTCATTGGTCGTACGGCGTTGCTACCTATTTTGGCTTATGGATCCATATATCATGTTTATCATTATGTGTTACGAATAAAATGAAAAATATGGCATGCTTCTCTCACTTTCACTTTTATATGCACATATTAAGTGGTTCTATACTGAACCAAAACTGGTTTAAAATGTAGTAAACAAGCATTTAAAACTTATTAAAAATCTTAAAATATTAAACAATCCAGTGAGAGTTAAAATATTGAACTTATGGAAATGCCATATTCTGGATATTTTTAATGGTTAATTCTCATCCTTTTTTTTTTTTTAATTCTCTTAATGGGGGGTGGAGTCCAGTAGGGTCCACTTGGCACTGCGGCCACTGATTGGCCTATTGTACCTGCCCCAGATGATTATGATGATGGATAATTTGGTGGAATGAAGAGTGGCAGGGGAAACCGAAGTACTCGGAGAAAATCTGCCCCAGTGCCACTTTGTCCACCACAAATCCCACTTGACCAGACTCGGGATCAAACCTGGGCCGCCGCAGTGGGAAGCCAGTGACTAACCACTTGAGCTATGGCGTTGCCAATTCTCATCCTTAGTTCAGGTATAGATTTTCTCTGTTGTGTTGGGCTTCTTATTGTCTGTGACTATTTTGGCTTATTGCTGTTATCTTGATTCAAAATGTTGTGTATATGATGTAACTGTCTTCACTTATGTTTATAATATGTTGATATGTGGCATTGGATTGTGGTTGGGTATGTTAAATGTGTTGATGGATTTGTAGTCTTTGAGCTGACACTATTATGTTTGCCTTCATCGCTTGTCAGGTCACTAATGTGAGAAAGCTTTTTGGTGTTTGTTGTGTTTGATGGGAAAAGTGAAAACTCATATAGGTAGCATTTGGGCCCCTGTTTCTGTTATAGTACATCAAATTATGTGTCAATATCGTATGCCAAGTAAGTAATATATCTGTATATTCCAAACTTGTGGGAAAATAATTATCAGTCTAGATTTAACATTTAAGTTCTGTGATGTATTGCGTTCCTTACAGCCCAGTTTATGTGCAACACATGTCACATAACTACATTTACTATTTACCTTGACTTCGTTTGTACAGCCATAAAATGAAAATATCACACTCTATCTTTATGAGCCTGCACCATTGTTCTGTGACAGCACATGCTGGCAACTTGTTTAAAAATACTGTTCATAGTCATAATAATTACAGGCTGAGGAAATGACTATCACACACAGTGATGAATACTGACAATCTTGAAGGCAGACTTCATAGATTGTTATTGTTTCAGGTAATATTTCCTATTCATCATGCTATGTTCAGTAATGTACAATTATTGACTTTTTTGACATCCAGCATCCTGATTTTTATTTATTTAAAACAACGTTTCAAAGACTGGACTCTGTCTGTCCTCAGGTAAAAAGCCTTCTCAGCTGGGCCCAATTGATAGAGCTAGCCCCTATTTCTGGACACCAGAACCAACACAAGGTAGGATGTATAAGCCAGACACAACATAAACCATCTGCAGGAAGTTGAGAAAAACATTTCCAATCTTCACATACATGAGGCCTTGCATCTATGACCATGTATAATGTAACAGGCACAATCCATAAAATCAGAGTATTGCCAAAATAGAAGCCAACACCAAATAAAAAAGCAGGACTGTATAATGTCAAAAGGTCAATAATTGTATCAGTATATCATCACAAACTTTTACTTCTTGTTTAATAATGTAGTTGACAAGTTTATTTTTAGGTTCTATATTTAGGTGCTATTATCAGTGTTGCTGTGTTATAATTATGTATATATGGCATACATGTACTTGTAAAAGATGGGTCTTTTGCCATTGATTTTCCAACAGTGTACTTAAAAAGTGACAAAATATTTTGCAAGAACATAAATTAATTTGAAAGTCATAAATTCTAAGATAAATTTTAAGTGAATGAAAGAAACCTCGAGACAAAATTTCCATTTGATGATTTTAAACTGGTATAAAGTTAAGCTTCCTGTCTTGGTTAGGGCCAGAGTTGCGGTTGTTTCAGTGCTTCAGAACGGGAAATTAAAAAAAAGATTTACATATTGAAATACTGCCATCTCTGAAATTTCTTGAGCTAAAAAGGTAATTTTTCATATTTGCCACTTAACCAGAGCTAGCAGTCTTGCCAAAATTTATTATAATCAGAAATGATCATGGCATTTTTGCCCATAAACAGTGTAGAATTGGCATTGAGTAGACCAAATGCGATTTTCACTCGCTCTCATTATAATATGTGACAGATATTTTTACCATCCTTACTTTGTTTCATCCAAGGAGGATATTGAATATATTATTGGAGGAAATTAAGTTTGCCTTAATGTTATGTTCATAAAACATGAGTTGGTATAAAATAACAATTGTATTATAACATGAGGAAGCAGGTATATTTATTTATTTATTCCAGACTCTGGTTTATAAGTACGTTTACTATCTCTAATGGTAGTACAGTTATGTCGTTTTAGTAGGGGTGCAAGATTTTGTTTCATATTCAAGTTTTCTAGTTATATTTTGTATTCAAGAACTATGAAGCATGCAGATATAAATCTTCATTAATTTGAAGATTCCACTTTTTTGTAATTATAGCAGTTTTTTAAGTGTATGTCTAGGCACCAGAGTAGTTTGTGTATAGGTAATAGTTGGAACTCAGAATATTGAAATTCTGTAGATATTATCTGGCGAAAGGGGGACTTGTTTTAAGAAAATATTCATAAGTTGAAGTATATATTACATTATAACCATAGATTTTTGACTGAAGTAATTTTTTATTAGTCATTGAAACATATCTAAAAGTGTATTAAGCCCTGTATAGGAGTTAACCAAGTTTCAGTCAAAATCTTATTTGAAAAAGGACTCAGTACCTAATCTAATCTAAATCCATTCATCTAGGCGAGAGATTTGACCTTACACTTTGAGTAATTGTCATTCCTGCTTTATATTCAGAAGACCATGGGTTCATTTCTTTACCTAGTACTGCTATCCTGACTGAAGTTGTTTACTGCTTGTCATTTAGAATACTCCCAAACATGTACAAAACTTGAAAGTTAACAGCCATTTATCAGCATATATATCATCATGTATTAGTGACTAGATGCAGGGTTTGAATTGATAATTGGAATTATTGAATGCTTATGACACATAACTAGAAATAATTGTAACACTTATTAATCTACACACTCTATAAGTAACTAGGTCACACACTAAGTCTCCTCAGTCTGTTATGTCTTCACTAGTTATTGCTTGATAGTGGTTTCCAGCAGTGGAGATTTCTGTACTTCTGTGCACATGACTAACCACAAACTGCAAGTGCCAGCTCATGACCTGGTACTTAATTGGTTGGTCAGATGAATTGCTACTGGCTCTCAGCAGCAGTCATCTTGGTTCTGAGTCCTCCAGGACTCATGACCATATTTTGCTGTCTCACGACTCTAGGAGTTGTGCAGCTCTTCCCACAACTCAGTACTTGGTCCTGTTGGTCCTTGTCATACAGCTTCAGCACGTTGCATAGAAAACACTGTTTCAGACAGTTCATCTGTTGTTATGGGAACTTGTTACTGAGCTGTTGCCTGTCAGTCAACATTTCCTCTGTGTCCACTATTCCAGTTCTCAGGTGTCATGTTGCAATGTTAAATTTAGAAAGCACATTATACATTTTGTCATCTTTAGGCACCTTTCACAGGTTGGGTCGCCTGTCAGTCCCAGTTTGAAAAGGTGTCCTTTTAGGTGGCAGTGTCCAGTAAGTAATCCTACCACCCATCTTAGGTGATCTCTGTTTAATTTTAACAGGTCCCTTGTTCTTCTGGCAGAGGGTCCTGATATAAATACTTTTGTCTGTTTGAGTCCAGTTGTGGATTCTCAGTGTTTTTTTTATGTTACTCCAGTCCATGATCGCTTTCTTGGCAGCTCCAATTGAGATGCCGCAAGCTGGTTCAGGTCCTATGAATGGCTGTTCAGATCCTGTTATTGCCAGCTGATCTGCAGTTTCATTCCCGGCAATACCCTCATGGCCTGGCACCTATATCAGCTGAACTCTGTTATGTCTGTCCAGCTGTGTGAGGGATTGGTGGCAGTCCCAAACCAATTTTGAAGTGATTTGATGTGTACCAATTGCTTTGATTGCAGCTTGACTACCTGGGTCAGTTCCTCATGGAACCAAGTGACTTTTATGATGCCTCCATAAAGAAAGTCCTGCATTTCATTTGAAGTGGAGGATTAATAAAGGGGAAGCACAATAGGTCATTGAAGGTCACAGTGCAAGGGCCGGTTTTTGTGGCTCACCCCTGTCGCGTGTTGGGTATGTCACGCGACAAATTCACGTGGGTCTCAGATTCAGCGAGTCTTTATTGGACACTCAATCGTACACACCTTACAATCGTTACCACTTCAATTGTACTCTGTGGCGGCTATCTTCCAACTGTCTTGTATGAAGGCTGTGTTCTATGAAGGCTAGGTCTCTGTGGTTGTTGTCCTGTAGCTCTGTCGCTCTTGACTTATGTGTTCTGCGGACCAGATATGAGACACCATTCGCCAAGGTTTGATCTCACTTGTTCGGCAATCCATTGCTTCGGGAACGATCTCTATAGATTACAGCGGTAACGTGTTTCGTCTCATCCGTTGGTACTCGACGGCCTTCTGTTGTTCATCTCCGGGGAAACGCATTCATTGTTTTGGCATTGTCTACACAGTGGCCCACTGTTATTGCTTTGCCATGGAGGTATCTACTCCAAACACGTTACAGCCCTCATACTCATATCCTTTTTGTCATCTTGAGGTTTAATCTTGATTCCTGTATCTGACAATTGTCTATAATTTCAGGTTACCTTTCTTCAGATTCTCTGCTTTCATTATTTTATAAATTCCCTGAAACCTCTCCAAATTGTAATTTCTGGTATTGATTCAGGATCCTTTCATTTCTGAAAAATGTAATAATTGAACCATGGAGTGGGAAGAAATTTCCTGCTTGAAACCCTGACCTTATATCTGTAGAATCTAATCACTTCTTCCTCCCCCCCCCCTTGGCACTACAGCCCCAGTGGGCCTAGGCCTACCTCCATGAACTCCGCTCACTTCGGTTTTTCTAGATCTTACACAATCGGTAGGACTCCTTGGGTGAGTGATCAGCTCGTTGTAAGGGCTCTAGCTGTAGACAAACAGAAAAATGCACACAAACATCTATGCCCTGAGTGGGATTCGAACCCACGATCCCGGCTTCCGAGTGAGCGAAGGCAGTGCATGCCTTAGACCGCTCGGCTACTGTGACCGGCTAGAATTTAATCACTTACTATACTGTAATTACAAGCGTAATCATCACACTGTGGTCGTACTTCAGTACGGTGGTTTAAAGATCTGTGTCCTCCCCTCTTTGTGATGTAACAAGCCCACCTTGGGCAGAATAATTTAATGCTGTTGTCAGATCCTCATTAGACTCCAAATGTTGAAACTTACAGTTGCAAGCTTGCAACATTCACAGTACATACCAGTATATCTAGCAGCAGAAAAAAATTATCAGGTGATTCACTGCAGTGCAGCAAGCCAAAAATTCACATGGACAGTGGGGATAAGAGTTGCCAAGAGGGGAAGATCTGTTCACCCACTGAACCATAAGGCCTACCTGCTAGAGTAGAATGAATAATCCAGCCAGTAGGAGTGGAGGAGTGGTGGAGTGGTTGTAGAGTATTTTTTTTATTGCTAGTGGGGTGGAACTAAGTCCCTCGTACTGTGGTCACTTCTGGCCTATTGTACCAGCCCCAGATGATAGATGAGGGTGATTGTGGCGCAACTGGTGGAATGACGATTGGCAGGGGAAACCGAAGTACTCAGAGAAAACCTGCCCCAGTGCCACTTTGTCCACCACAAATCCCACTTGACCAGACCCGGGATCGAACCAGGGCCGCTGCGGTGGGAAGCCAGCGACTAACCGCTTGAGCTATGGCGTGGCCGGTTGTAGAGTAAGCGGAGCAGAGGAATAAAGGATAGATAAAGTGGAGGTGTAGAGGCATGAGATTCTTTGCCTGATTCCAGTATAGTAGAGCAGAGCAACTGGCAGGGCACCTGGCAAACACCTGACTGTTGGCCAATGCCATTTCAAGCTAAACAGCTGTGAGTACTGATACAAGGGACCATAACATTGAGGAGGAACTGTAGATTTCTGTGCTACCAAGAAAAAAATGAATCACATTTTTGCAAAATGTTTTGATTTAAAACATGGCATTACACTTTTCCACTTTGGGAGGTGGATGACGAGTCATGTAGTTGGGTCATGTCGTTATTCTTGGTGCTCTCAAATAGTGCTATAACTTGGTAGTTTAAGCTCTGTTGCAAGATGAACAGATACAAGAGTTATAAGTTAAATTTAAACTTACATTTCTGTTAAGAGAATTAAAATATTGAAGAGAGGCATCAACTCTATTTAGTAAGTGCTGCATGATTAGAAAATACAGGAAGTGAAATTGAAAATTACAGAGCATTTTTGGGCTCAAGAACTGGAAATTTTTGATGGTCAAGTTATTATGTTTTTTTAATTACAACAGCTTCAGTGTTTGTTATGCATGGGTGTATTATTGTCTGTATTCTGAGCATCTTATTTTATTCAGCAATAATTTAGACCTAGTTTTGACCATGATTTGGCAATATTTTAGAACAAAGACTTAAAGAACTATACAGTGCAATAACTACATATGTAATCTACTTGATTATGACCTTATAAGGCCAAAACATGTAGAAGGAAATACTATAATACATGACAATGTACCACACTACTAGTCTACGCACTCAACAAGAAGTTGCACCATTAAGATTGCCCTTGTTAATTAAATTATCTTTTTTAATGCTGTTCTGAGACATGTTTGTGATCCCTGTTGAACTCTTACACAGTCAATACTGAAGAGTAAGAAACTCCTTAGCCAGATGAGAGCTAATTTACAACAGTGATAAGTTTATGGAAAATGAAGCCAGTGGGGGACGTTTACAGTGCCTAGTCAACAGGCAAGTAAAAGGTCAGCTAAAGCAATGGGAGTTTGTCGAATTCTGTTGCGAAAATTAAACAAGAGGGGGGAAAACATTGAATATGTAGAAGGTAACTCGTCCTCTCAAACTTCAGATAACAGACAGTGTAATGTAAAGCCCATTCATAACACCTACGATTTTAATAGAACAGTAATTACAAGCCAATAAATAAACATGTGATGAAATACATGAAGACAGAACTGCATGTGAGTGAGCATGTCAGAGCAAAGATTTCCAACAAAGTTGTAATATAACTAGGTCATACATCATTTGAAGATGTTAAAATTTAAAGCGGAGAAACAAACAAAAATAATTCAGGAATGTTTGTTTTTACTCAGTTCAATAACCAGCATCATTCCATCTGCTTTCCAAAGCACTTAAAAGAATCGTTTAACCAGTTTTGTCTGTTGTGGGAAGTAGCCTCTTACTCTGGAGGAAGTATGTAAACACTGGAAAACTGAGTGTGAAAGGAGACTATTTAGAGCCGTGATTACATGGCTTAAAGGCAAAATGGAAGATGCTGTGTAAACAAGGGAATTGATAAATTACACAACCTAGTTAGGGCAGTCAGATTAAGGAAGAAAACAGAAAAATTTGGTGGGGAAAGCTCTTAGAAAGTTGGCGCTTAATAAATGAAGGGGAGGATGGAAAAATAATACATAAATTTATTTAGGGTTCTTTTACCTGATCTGATTTTATTAGTTTGGGGTCCGTATCAGTATAGAATGGATTGAAAATACATATGTTATAGGTTTTTTCTATCACAGTCACTAATCCAATAAAAATTTGTTTCACCATATCGGTATTGGTGTAACTGTCAGATGTTTGGTTAGAAATTTATCAATATTTGTTCAAAATGTAGTAAGCAGTACAAGGATGTGCATTGTTTTAGACAGGCACCGACATATTGGTGTTGGTAAAATAATTAGAAAATATCCCCTATAGGCCTCATTAATTCTAAGCAAGTGCATCGAAGATGCTACGTGTACTTCTGATGGCTAGAAGTGCAGTACCATTGTCTGGTATAATTTTGTCATCAGTCGTTTCTTCTGAGAAGTAATAAATATAAGTGGAGTCTTTTCTTGTCCATCACTTAGCTATCTTCAAACTTCAACAAACTGAACTGAATTGCCACACCATACCACAAGAATTTCATTGGCAAATTTAAGAGTGATTTCTAGATTACTATACCAACAACAGCACTTGTAATATCAGAGCATAAAAAAATAGCTGACAATGTTGGAACATATGAAAGTGCCCTTAAATAAATTACGAAAGTGTGAACGGGATTGGACTGCCTCAGACATTTCTTACCTGTAGTATTGAATCATTTTATTACCAGAGCATTTGTTAATAGATAAAATATGTAATATAAAAATTCACGTGATATATTTTCGTTGTCTGCCTGGTTCCCTTTATAAATATAGGGAAATGATCCCTTTATAATGAAGTCCAGATTAACGAAATATGTCGGTCTAACAAACAGAAAATGATTACTTAATACATGTATGTGATTAATTTAATGAATAATATTTCCAGTTAATCTGTTGGTATAGAGCTTTCATCCGAAACAACTTTTGCATCATGTAACATAATTGTTTACCCTTTTATGTGAAAGTAACTGAACAGTCAAAAAATATAGGGGATAGTATTACTTTTATGTACCAAAGATAATTTCAGCAAAGTACGAAGTCAGCTGGTACCAGCAAGAAGCAAAGTAGAACACGAGAGGTGTTGTACTCATGTATCTGAACATCCAGAAGATAGAACACAGTGTAAGTGTGAATATAGCTACCGCCAGCAGAAAACACTGATATCAACTGAAAGAAGTGATTTCATGACAACAGTGTAAATATCACATAGAAATTTGAATTAAAGATATTAAGCCAAGTTCAGCTGAAACCAAGATAATTTAATTTTTCAACTGAGCTTTTTAAATCATTGGCTTTTGCTAAGAGAAGAGAATAAAGGAGTCAGGGATTGTGGTGTAGTCAAGAAATACATCACTGCACTGACGTTGTATACAAGGTGGTTCAAATATGACCGGGACTGATTTGTGCGTAAACAAGCCGCACTGTGCAGCAGCTGTGTGACCTGGAGAGAGTGAAGCCATGACCTCCACCTTCCCTCCTGTTCGGGTTAGAACCTGTTCAGTCCTGTCTGGGAGTTGCTAGAGTGATGAGTGCACAGAAGGTACTGCGGAACGTGGAACAACGCATTGTGATCAAATTCCTCGTTTGAGAAAACGTCTCGTCCGCTGAAATTCACCACAGATTCCAGCAACAGTATGGGGAAGATTGTCTCTCACAGACCCTTGTGTTTGAGTGGTGTAAGTGGTACAGAGAGGGCAGAGAGTGCGTGGAGAGTGAAACGCATGATCGTCTGCCGCGAACATCCATCACCGAGCCAAACACTGATCATGCAGACGCACTTATTCGTGAGAATAGACGCATCACTATCAACCATGAACTTGGAGCAATGCTGTCCATCAGTGTTGGTAGTGTAGAAGACATCGTGAAATACCACCTGCACTATCGCAAGGTGAATGTATGGTGGGTACCATGCACTTTGATGGATGTGAACAAAATGGTGCGCATGCAAGCTGCCAGTTGTCTCCTACAGCAGCTTGAAGATGAAGGTGATGCATTTTTTAAGTCTGTAGTGACCAACAATGAAACGTGGGTGTACTACTTCATTCCCGAGACACAGCAGTCATCACGCGAGTGGCGGCATACCAGTTCTCCCAAACCCAAGAGAGAGCAGTGGAGTCATTCGGCAGGAAAAGTGATGGCAACGTTCTTCTGGGACTGGCAGGGGGTTATCCATGTAGACTTTCTGAGAGATGCCAGGACAGTCAATGCAGATTATTACTCAGACCTCCTGGCAACAGACATGAAGGACCCGATCCAAGCGGAAGACAGGTGGAAAGCGGGTAGCCTTCCTTCAAGACAATGCACGCCCCCATACGGCCAAAACAACAATGGAGACCCTCCAGAAATTGAAATGGAGCCTTCTGACATATCCGCCATACAGTTCTGATTTGGCCCCAAGTGATTTCTTCCTGTTCAGAAGGCTCAAATCAGACTTGCAAGGCATGTGGTTTGTGAACAATGACCCTGTCATCCAGACTGTTTGGGAGTGGATACGCCGCCAACCACAAGCCTTTTTTTTGAAAAGGGCATCAGGATGCTTCCAGAACGTTGGAAAAAATGTGTTGACTCCGGAAGGGAGTACGTTGATGACTGACATGTGCAAGTAAGTGTTTGGCAATTATGTTTAAAAAAAATCATTCCCAGTCATATTTGAACCACCTTGTACTTCTAAAAGCTCTGAACTGACTTTGTTTTTCTTGATGATATTGGGAAACAAAGGATTCCTGTCAGCAGGCATCTATCTACTGTTTAAAGACAAGTTTTTCATTATTATGTGGCCTTAAAAATTTAAGAGATACTATTACAGAGTGATTAGTGTGAGCATTATACGTTAACATTTTGGCCTATATTTGCTGTCTTCTGGGAATATGAAACCATGTAGTTTCGTATACTGGTATCAGCGTTTCAGAGGAACTTTAGTACCTATCACCAAACTACACGGCATCAGTTTCCATAACCTTATGATACAAATATATGCTTTACTAAGCTGTAAGATTAAAATGTATTTCAAACATTTCTCATTTAGATGTATACATGCGATAAAATATGCCTGACAACCCTTGATATGGTTTCCCCAAGCAGAACTTCATTCAGAGAGATTTAGTTGATGAAATAAGATGGATCGATGAAGAGATACATATGATCTCATTTTACACATTTTTTGATATAAGGTTCATGCATGTATGATGTTTATATGTGTTAATGATTCATCAGAATATTGACAGATTTAAGTTTTCAAGGTATGGTAATGTTTATTGTAAATATATGTGTTACATTTGGACAGATAGGGTTCCTTTCAGCTCTGTCGCAAATAAGTCTTTGTTTTGAAGACAGTGGTAACTGTGGTTGATGGATTAAATAATGGCCATTTGTAAGTTGTTCTCAAGTGATAGATATTGTGGTGGTGTTTATTTTCTGTGTTGCAGCCAGCCGGCCTGATGCCATTGTGTCAAGCGATGACATGAGTGAGGGGGACACACATTCAAACCAGACAGCTAAGGTACTATAGAAGAACACTAAAGATTGTGTTGTTCAATTTACATATAGGTTAATATCTTATAATCACAATAATATCTTGAACTGGAAGATTTTGTTTTGTGTTACTCCATATTTTCCAGTATGTTGGGAATGAGATTCTGCACGAAGTGTAACTTTGTATTTATTTGCAAGTTACATCGGGAAAAAGAGGAAATACAGTTCCAGAAATAAGAGTGAAGAACAGCAGAGTCCTGTGAATCACACTTTTTACTTACCTGTCTGTGAGTTGTGATTTTATTCCTAACCAAGTAGGTGAAAATGAGGAGTCACCTCATGGCTGAACATAGCAGCTTACAGTGCCATCTGTAATGCAGGTTTTCTGATGAATGTGTGAGGACTGATTACGGAATGATTAAAGCAACAAACACTAATGCATATTAAGGGTATTAAAAGTCTGAATAAGTTATAATTACAGTCATTCCTCTGTATGTGTGAATTAACTATTATCAAATGGTTGTGCCATAGCTCAAGTGGTTAGTCACTGGCTTCCCATTGCGGTGGCCCGGGTCTGTTCAAGTGGGATTTGTGTTGAACAAAGTGATGCTGGGGCTGGTTTTCTCTGAGTACTTTGGTTTCCCCTGCCAATCTTCATTCCACCAATTGCTCCACAATCACCCTCACCTATCATCTGGGGCTGGTACAATTGGCCAGAAGTGGCCGCAGTACAAGGGACTTAGTCCCACCCCACTAGCAATTAAAGAAACTATTATCAAGCTCCCAACAACACATTATCATGACTTGTGACTTTGAACAGAAAGATAAGCATGTTTGAGCATGCTGACAAAGATTCACAGCAAAATATGTACAAGGCATTTAATTTATGAGAATAGTTGTATGTTTCTATCTTTTGTCTTTCCAAAATATATATTTTTTAAAACAACTAAAATTCATTGAAAGACATTAGCATTACTTTCCTCTCAGTAGTTTGAGAGCAATCATTTTGGTACTGAGGGGGGTATTTTATGACACTGTCATTAGTTGAACTATATAGCACTGAATAGTGTAACAGTTGATGATTTGGAAATTATTCAGAAGGAAGTAGTCATGACCTAATGAAGATACTCTGTCAGGATTTGCTGGAGTGTCTGGAGTTGGTCATTGTGATGATGTTATGGAATGATCTTCATTTTGTAGTAAGGAAACTCAACAAAGTTAATCAGGGAAAAGGGCAGTCTTACAATCTCTGTCTCATTGATAAAATTCCATTAACCTCCATTTCCTCATGGAATAACAAAAGTTAGGCAAAACTCAGAGCATTGTGGAGTCTTTTAGTCTGATGATGCTGTCATTTTCATCATCTTCATCATCGGTTACAATACATTTATATTTAGAGGTTTTTAACTAGACTGTGTGTGAAGGGGGGGGGGGTTGAACAGGCATGTGAAGGTTTTATTATTTTTGCAGAATGCCCAAAGTGGTTTTACTATAACAACATTAATCGTGTTTTCCTGATAAGATGATAATTTCTCATAATATTTTATGCGTCTTAAATTCATGAGTAAGGCCCCAGGTATAATTTTTAATTATGAGGCATTATGCTACAAGCTGGAAGGTTGTGGGTTCAAGTCCCAATGAGGTCATTACATTTTTTTTCAATTGACCTAATCCCTCCAGCCGCACTATGGCCCTGGGGTCAACTCAGCCTCTAACAGAAATGAGTACCAGGAATTAATTAAATAATTCTCCTGGGGGGTAAAGCACGGCTGGTGCGTAAGGCTGACAACGTTACCGATATATTTGAGCCAATTGTCTAGATAATGTGGGACCCTGAATGTCTCACAACCCTATGGACATTCACGGCCTGTTACAGGGATAGCTTTACTTTTACTTTTTTACTAATACTGAAGTGTTAGTAATGCACTTTTATTTTCACATGTTATTTCCAAAATATTCAATTCTGTTTGTGTGTTAAGAATTTTGAAGAAATCTGTTTTCTGAAGAATAGTTTAGTTTAGTCTAATTTAGTTTTTATTCATTCTTTGTAAACTTTTGGTGTAGGACAGATCATTATGACATATGAACACAGAATTACAGAAACTGTAGAATTCATCATGCAGGGAACAGGATGGTACCTTGTGATCCCCCACCTTGTACAGGGTTTGTCCGGTAAGTAATGCAATTTGTTTTTTCCTGCCGCTCCTCCTGGTCACAGCGAATTTGGACCAGTTGGGAAAGGGGGGGGACTCTTAGCTTCACAGCGCTTCCAAGCTCAGTCTGCTCTGAGCTCTGGAAGCGTCAGGATCAATGTTTCCGTGAACCTCCTGTTAATGCCTGTGTCACGGCGGGCAATGGAGAAAACTATTGAACATCGTTATGCGATCAAGTTCTGTGCTAAACTGAACAAAAGCCTCGCCGACACACACCAAATGATTCAGGAAGCCTACAGGGACTCTGCTCTCTCCTATTCTCAAGTCTCCAGGTGTTTGAAGTTGTTTAAAAATGGCCGGGAAGAGGTGTAGTATGACTCCCGCTCTGGATGGCTTTCAACCAGGAAAAGTGACAAAAATGTGTCTCGTGTTTGTGATCTTTTAAATACCGATTGTTGAATGAGTGTTCGGATGATAGCAGAGACTCGGTATTCCAAAAACCACTGTGCACGACATTGTTACTGACAATTTGCACATGTGGAAAGTGTGTGCCAAGGTGGTTGCCAAATTGTTGACTGACGACCACAAGAACAACCGAGTGACGATCGCGAGTGAACTTTTGGAACGTGTACAAAACAAACCTGATTTTTTGGACAATGTCATTACCAGCGACGAAACATGGGCCTTCGAGTACGACCGGGAGACAAAGCACCTAAGTTCCGAATGGCACGCCTCGGAGTCCCCTCATCCCAAGAAGGCAAGAATGAGCAAATCAAAAGTGAAAACCATGCTCATTGTCTTCAATGCCAAGGGTGTGGTCCACAAATAATTTGTACCCCAAGGGCAGACAGTCAACGCTACCTACTATGTGGAAGTGCTTGACAGATTAAGAAACAGAGTCGTCTGCGGACGACTCTGTTTCTTAATCTGTCAAAAGGAGATCGAAAGGAGATCGCCTCTACCTGGCAGCTGCACCACGACAACGCTCCCAGCCACACTGCTCTGCGCGTCCGGGAGTTTCTGGCCAAGTACAGCTTGGCAGTGTTACCCCAGCCCTCCTACAGTCCTGACCTGGCTCCAGCAGACTTCTTTTTGTTCCCGAGGATCAAGACCGTCCTGAAAGGAACCTGTTTTTGAACCATTGAAGCGATCCAAAGCGCCGTGACAAAGGCTCTAAAGGAGGTCCCTGTCGATGCCTTCCAGGATGCATACCGTGCATGGAAAGTCTCCGGCAAAAGTGTGTGGATACCCAAGGGGAATACTTTGAAGAATTATAAACCTTTGTAACGATATCTTGAATCAATTTTTTTTTTACAAACTAAATTGCATTACATTTCGGACAAACCCTGTATATCCAGACATTTCACCTTTGACCGGGACTCTGGATTGTTTCTGAGGAGGAAGAGAGCCAATAAGCTTAATTAAACTGATGGAAAATTATAATTCAGATAATTTTTATAGCAAGCCAGGGTGCCATGTTGTCGCGTAACATACCCAACACGTGACAATATTTTCACTAATGTCTATGTCTAAAATTTTTGTTACTGGTTTCTAGGCATTCATATTGTCAGTGTGACTTGAGGGTTTTAGTGGGTCTCATGTTTGTGCAGTATGAAAAGACATATGTGTTGTTTTCTCAGTTTATTATTCTTGGGTAAGGTTTGTAGCAGGAGGTCATTTATGTATAATGTGTAATGTGAATGCATTTTATGAAATCATGTCTATAATTTTTTCAGTTTCACCCAATTAATGCATAATGATCATATGTTAAAATCTGCGTTTTGTTATCTTCTGTGTTGTGCAGGCTTCAAACACAGGATGCAGCACATTGCATCAGTGTAATGTATGACATTTATATCTGAAAGAAATATCCCGCATAACAAACCCCAGAAATTTGTGTTTCTTATGTTTTACTGTATTTTCATGGATAATTTGGGGAAAATGATGTGTTCTTGTTACCAGCAGTGTCTGAGTGGGAAGGAACTGTTCTTTGCATTTGCTGGTGACCAAAAAGGTAAGCTGCTACCTGAGTCGCTGCAGCGCCTGTGCCCGGGTTTGCTGTACCAGCTGACTGATATGACTACAGACTGCATCATGGTTTCAGTGCCAGGTCCTGAAGCACATGGAATGGACATCAGTACTGAAGTAGTGAGCCACAGTGCTGGTGAGTATCACACATTCAAAGTTTATAGATGCCTTCCCTTTCCCAGTAATTAGATACTTAAATAAAAATGTTATCCAGTAACAAATTATAACTTTGCATGTTGAAGACTACTCCAGTTTTGCAAATTACAGACAATGGACGTGAATTTTGCACATGAAGATTATAAGAACAATCCCAAGAAGATAAAAATTAATTACCAATCAGGTTGATGTAGCGGCAGTGATGTAGGTTTCTATTTGTGAGGCGTTCGGTTTGAATCTCAATTAGAATATCAGCTATCTTTAGTGATGTTTTTCATGGCTTACGTCAGTTCTGCCTGGAAAATGCTGGGACAGTTCCTCAATTAGATCATGATCACTTCCTTCCAAGTTCATTATTCACCAGTCATCCTACCATTCAACATTGTATAGCTTGAAGTACTCGTATCATTGTAAAATATCCACAAGAGAAAAGAAAGAAATGAAATGAACATGAACAATAACGTTCAAAAACATGGAAGAGCAGACCATGCACTGGTTGAAGAATACATAGAAAACATAAAACAGGCATTCTGACATGTCTGTTGGTGTGGGATGACATTAATAAATTGATGTAAAATGAGTTCAGTAGCTCCACAGCAATACTTAGATTAATTTGGGATAGACATTTATGTATACATAGCAGTAACACATTTTACTGTGTAGTCAGGGGACTGACTATACGAATCAATTTTTGTGTGTGTGTGTGTGTGTGTGTGTGTGTGGTTTTTCTGAGGTTCTCCAGGCAAATGCCAGTACAGGCATTAAAGTCAGGCTGGTATCATTTCTTTCCACATTCTTTGCAATTCACAATTTGCTGCCATCCCATCATTTGATGTTGTATAAAGTCAGTGATAATGTTTTTAAATAAACTATAAACTATTTGTAGTATATTAACATGATGTTACGAGTACAAGTAGTGTCAATATAGTTAAGACATGTGGAAAATGTAAATGTGTGGTGAGAGTGAAAAGGAAAATAACATTTAAAAAGATACAAAATTTTAACCTAAGCGACCACTGTCTTTATTAGAAAGAAATTAACTGTTATGAGCAGCAAGTGCAACAAGATTATGATTAGCAGTATACATTTGCAAGGAGTTGGTATAGTGATGGGTTGTGGGTTGGACAGCCAGAGTTTGGTTGCCAGCAGAGGAAAGATTTTTCTCTTCTCCACAGCATCCAGACTGGCTCTGGGGCTCACCCCACCTCCTATCCAGTGGGTACTGGTGATAGGAGGTGGGGTGTGAAGCTAACCACTCATTTCCATCTAACAACAAATTCAAGAATGGTGGAGCTATATCTCCACTCCCCTACACATCTTCGTGGTGTGGTGCTTAATTAATTGAGCACAGGAATAACTTAACCTCCCTTCCTTAATATACATTTGCAGCAAGGCAGAAACTCTCTGTGTAAGCATATGGTAGTGCAGATTTTCTACAGTAGTGTCTTTCTCATGTTGTAATATTGGTTGCAGTGTGGCTATATGCAACACTAAGCATTGTGGTGGTAAGCCTGTGTGGACTGCTAGGAGTGGCAGTAATTCCAGTGATGCAGCGGGTGTTCTACCAGCAGCTTTTACAGTTCCTCGTTGCCCTTGCTGTTGGCACACTCTGTGGGGATGCCCTCCTGCATCTTCTTCCACATGTGAGTAAGTTGTTGCATGCAGTAGTAGTTATGTTCAAAGCTTGTCATCATGGATATGTCAACAGTACAGTTAGCTTTAACATTGTTGTCATTGTCTGCCAGAAAATATAGGGTTACTATAAAAGAAACAGACACTTTCAACATTTTATAGAAACGAAAGTATTATTGATGTAGGCAAAATACATGTTTTTTAGTATATGTCTTTGAATTTGTATGACTAAGTTTCAAATGTTCTGTGTGTGAGCCTTTTGTCACACAACAGATACCAATACGATAATCCAGATCATTCCAAACACTGCTCAACAGACCAGAACATGGCAATGACATGTTGGCCACCAAAAAGTTCGGATCTAACCCCTTGTGAATTTTTCTCGCGGGGATATATCAGAGAACAGAGTTTTTGTTCCTCAACTTCCTGTAAGTGTAAATGATCTAAAGCAACACATCACAACAGCTGTTGCAAATTCTGACAAGGACATGCACCTGTGTGTTTGGAATGAATTAGATAATCATATTGATATCTACCGTGTGACAAAAGGCTCATACATAAAACATTTGTAACTTAGTCATACAAACTTAAAGACATATACTAAAGACCCATGCAAGTATTTTGGCTGTATCAGTAATACTTCAGTTTCTATAAAATGCTGCAAGTGTCTGTTTCTGTTATAGTAAAGCAATATATTTATATGGGAGGTTAGGAAAATCTTTTGATAATGATTACAAGAAATCTATTTGACCTAGGTGCCTAGAATCACTACCATAAGAACTGAGACATTACCTGCCTATGTAATCAGACAGTGGATATCTTTCTTGTACTGTACAGTTTTGTTACCTTTTAATAAAGTAAATTGTACACAGTTTGCTGCACTGCAATTATTTGCTTCATTTTTGGTTGTATGGTTCACCAAGAACCTTGGCCTCTTACACAACGGATGCTGTTCTCTCCATCAGGCCTCTGTCATTAGGTATCTTAACATGTATTAATCTCTGAGTCAAGGCTGGTAGCTTACGCCAAATCCCTAACCTGGAGGACCTGGGGCTTTCTATCATTCTGTCTAGTATGGGTGACCCTACCAGGTGCGTATGCCCGTGCTGCTAGTATAGCTGTCCAGGTAATCAGGGCACATGAACTTTCCCACCACCTTAAGTTATGGGGAAGTGCACTGTAATTATGATGGAAAATCTCAGTCATCTTTTTTGGCTTCATGATATAATATTAATGGGAATTCCTTGTTTAGATTTAATCTGGCATGATTCACAAAATATTATAGTGCAGTTACTTAATTTGTCCATATGTGGGCAGAAGCCAGCTTCTGGCATATCACTTTTTAAGCCTGTTCACATTGTTGTTGAATCTCATGCTCTCAGAGCATCTTTTTAACACTGATTGATGGAAAATAGAACATGTAGCAGATTGTGGGTTTTTCTGATGATGGTATTAACATGGGATTATAATTTGTCAGGACTGAGAAAGAACACAAATTCTATCCTCCCATGAACAAGATACTGTAGCTCTCAGTTGTGCCTGCTTATTTAACCAGAAATTTTGATCAGAATGAAATTGAGTACATGTGTTTAATAAGTACTTAGCATGATTATGAAAAAGTGAATTCTTTTGTATAGGCAATGATGGGTGAGCCTCATTCTCACACGTCTTCACCTACCCATCATGGGAGCCAACATGACGACTTATCTTCTGCAGAAGTTCAACATGATCTGAACATGTGGAAGGGTCTGGTTGCAGCTCTGGGTCTAGTGTTCTTTTTCTTCACAGAAAGGTGTCTCACCTTGGTGGGAGAGTGGAGAAAGCAGAGACAGCGCAGAAGGAAGGTTGGTACTACTGTTTGACACAAGCATTAAAAGATATGCTGATTGTTGTTCCTGGTCTTTGAGCTTGAAATCATTAGTGTTTTATTTCTTCCTACTACTGCCAGCTGTTGGGGGCACTATGCTGCAAGCTGGAAGGTCATGGGTTCAAGTCCTAATGAGATTGATTTTTTTTTCAATTGACCTAATCCTTTCAGCCACACTATGGCCCTGGGGTCAACTCAGCCCCTAACAGAAATGAGTACCAGGAATCTTCCTGGGGATTAATGGCGGCTGGTGCGTAAGGCTGACACCCTTACTGCCATCTGTGGGAGCCTCACTGTCTCAACACTATGGATCTTCATCGCCTGTTACAGGGATAGCTTTACCTTTTACTGCCATCTGTCTGTTGGAGAATGCATTCTTCATGCTTCAGTGGATCATACGATGTATGAAGGCAGGTTTTCTTTCAATCCAGTTTCCAAGTTATCTGTGTCAATATGGGAAAGTGTAATGTAGATATATTTTTCATCTATTCCCACCCAAATTTTTAAACCTTTGGTCCCAAGTTTGTACCCTCTCATTTTAAATATCGAGAAGTGTTTTTTTACATCATTTCATAAAAGCATGAGTAAATTTTGAAGTACATAATAAACTGTAATGAAGTTGGAGCTCGTATTCACAACACTTTAACGCGTGCATGATCAGAACTGTGGTTTTCTGGATTACTCTTTTTGCTGCTTCTCCTACTTCTTGAAGACCCTACAAGAAGCAGCCTACACTGCACAGAGGTAAGTTGATATACATAACTTTACATTCAGCAGGCTCCTTTGGGACGGGAAATAAAGTCACCATACACTGCTGAATGGTACTGGTACCAAAAAATTAGTTTGTAATCTAAGATGGCAGGAAATGCTTGAAATCTTTGTTGGCACTTAACTGAGACCAAAATTCTAATGGTAAGGTACTTTTGAGGCCTTAAATATGGAAAGATTTGATAATAAGATAAAATCTAGATTTACGGTATGTCTGAAAAGTGTTGGGAGAGGGTTAAATAGTAGAAGAGAAGCCTTTCCACATGTGTGCACATCCACACGTACACATGCATTGCCCTCACACATATTCAATGAAACCCTGATGTGTTTATTAATATACTGTGGATATTTGCTCAAAGCAAAAAACAGTGGAGCCAGAGAAAAAACCATTGCTAGTGAACGGCTCTGAAACAACAGTTGCTTCTAGGTAGTAGCCACGAAACGAACAGTTGAACATTGTCCATTGCTAGGCAGGAGATTCTTAATAATCAAGAATAGTGAGCCACTGCTAGGGAACTGCTCAGTATATACATTCCTCTGGCAACGGATATAAATGTAACAGGGGAATGATGTTTTGTATGTGGTCTGGGCCGAGATGTTATAAGCAAGGGACAGGATTAGAGCTTGGTCAGTTAGTCTGTGAAGTGAGGACTAGGAGGCTCTTGTGAATTGAGCTAGTCAGTTTAAAGTCTGTCTGTGAGGAGAGGACTTTATGCATGATATTTGGAGTGTGTAATTCCGTGAGACTGTTATATGAGGGTAAGTCAATAAGTAAGATACAAATGGATATAGAACTTAAACAAATAAGAGTACTCATTTGAAAAATACTTTTATTTCTCAACATAATCTCCCTGTACATTTAGGTACTTGTCCCATCGTTTCACAAGCCCCTGAAAACCAGCAGCTTAAAATTCTTTGGGCTGCTGTCAGAACCAGGCGTGTTCACACGGCATGGCCTACCTCGTAATGCATGACAGGTTAAGTTTTCACGAAGTCTGTGCATGATGGATGTTGCGCATGCTGACCACAAAAATGAAATGCAAAGAATGGGTCTGGCATTACAGCATCTCAGTTGCTACCATGGTGAAGGACACGATATGCTAGCCTGAATTGCCACAGGTGATTAGTTTTGGGTTCACCATTACCAGCCTGAGACAAAGCATGCATCAATGCAGTGGAAACATCCTGCGTCGCCTTAAGGCTGGAGTGCAGTGAGCAGTATGCCTTCGTGATCCCAGAAGACTGTGAGCATCACTTTCCTGGAGGATGGTGTCACCTTAAACTTTTTTAGGCAGGTGATTCAGGAAGTTTCCACTGCATTGACGCACGCTTTGTCTCAGGCTGGTAATGGTGAACCCAAGACTCATCACCTGTGAAAATTTGGGCTCGAATATCGTGTCCATCATGGTAGTGATTGAGATGCTGTACTGCCAGACCCATTCTTTGCATTTTGTGTTGTGGGGTCAGCATGTGCGGCACCCATCCTGCACAGACTTTGTGAAAACCTAACCTGTCATACATTATGACGTAGGCCATGCCGTGTGAACACGCCTGGTTCTGACAGCAGCCAAAAGAGTTTTATGCTGCTGGTTTTCAGGGGCTTGTGAAATGATAGGACAAGTGCCTCAATGTACAGGGAGATTATGTTGAGAAATAAAAGTATTTTTCAGATCAGTACTCTTATTTGTTAAAGTTTTATGTTCATATGTAACTTACTTATTAGCTTACCTACGTAGTTACCGTGTTAAAATCTGTTGTCAGGAAACAGCTACCGGAGACTGTAATAGACTGAGACACTCATATGTTTGTGTGACAGTGATCTGCAAAGTGTAGTCGTGAGTCGTGAGTGAATAAATGGTCAATAAAAAAAATATCCAATCCAAAACCTTTTTGAGAGTCACTCTGTCATGTGACAGTACATTTCCATCATTAAAGACATCATAGTGTATTTCATATTTTGAACCTTGTTCTGTTCATTTTCACTCTCACATGCTTTTTCTGTTTTCCAGACATCCCTCTTTCCTTCTTTGTGTGGGTGGGAGGGAGGGGTGTATATGCTAAAATTTTATTTTATGGATATTATAAATGTAAATGTTTTTACAATCTGCATCAGCATTTTACTTTTAAGAATGTAATACTTTTATTAAGATGTTTGCTATATCGACATTTAAGTAAGATCTTTATAAGTCATTATAAAACAGTAGTGACATCAAGTTAGAAATTATGACATGGTTGCTCAAAGATGTCTGAAAAACAGATGAAACGTGTAAGATGAAAAAGATATAAAATAACAGTTTTGTCTAATATGAAACAGATTACAATGCCAAAAGGAGAAAAGGAAGATCTGTATTAAGTTACATTTGATTGTGTTGTCAATAGTAGAACTTAATGGAAAAGACAAAACCCCAGTTAGAAGTTGTTCAAGAGATTGATTAATTTAAGTGTAAATGGGCAGACTACTTAAATAAACAGATAGAGAATTTATCTGATATTAAATTTTAAGCATTGGAAGTGGATTTTTTAAATGTATATGAAAGAGGTGATTAGGTGTACTTATATGAAATTCTAATATATTTGGGGCAGAACTGGCCTCAAAGTTAGAAATATCGAAATTAAATTTGATTCTAAAAGGCTCTGATGATGATGATATATAACACTCAGAGCTAATGAGTTTTGGACTTTGTCCATCATCCAGTATTCTGATGAGCTCAACATTTCAGAAACTGGATCTGTTTCTATCAAATGAAAGGATGGGAGACACCTACTCTGTCGGATCTGTTAGAAAGAACTAACCACTATCACTGGTCTCATTTCCGGAATGTGTTCTTAGAATACCAGACAGTGGACAGTGTCTGAAAATTCATTAGTCCTTAGTCAAAATTAGTTGTACAAATTATAATTTACATTCATTAAGTCTTTTGTTTCCACTGCTTTTTGAAAACATATGTACTAACCATATTCTTGGTTTCAGTAAGCAAACTGAATCATATATGATGTGTTTCACATCCAGGTCCCATCAAGAGTGCGTGTGATGCGGGATGCAGACAATTTGGGTAATAGTTCAGTGGGTGAAAAGCTGTGCAAGCATAAATACAGTTCTTACCCTTACTGCTATGGTGAGATTACAACAGAGATGTCAGGTGAGGTATTTGGAACACTAGATATAATCTTGGAAGAATCTGCAGTAAATATTTTGGTGTTACTTCTGAACAGTCAGCCTCCCTAAATGAAAGTATTTATTGGTAGCTGACTTGTTCCAAAATCCACGTAAAAGCAGAATTAACAGTTGTTTGATTTTTATTCTGAAACTACAAATTGTATATTCACAATTAACTGCTCTCTTTATTAGCTTCCAAGATAAACCATGATAAACAAATATTGTGAATTATGTATATATTGTCACATGTTGGGTGTATAACGCGACAAATAACTTCACGCCTTATTGAATATAGCGAATTTATTGCACATTCACTCTTACAGTCACACAGTTTACAATCTCAACCTTACTGCCATTGGCAGTATCACAAATACTCCGACAAAAGATAGACAGCTATTGACTGGTTAACTGACTCCCTGGCTAACTCGTAACTAACTGTTGAATAGTGTTCGCTGCTCCTTATTTAGCCCCGTTATGGACAACACAGAAAACAGTTACGTAATAGGTGCCACTGTTGCGTAACGTCATGTTTACCGACTGCCTAGGAACAGTTGTTGCACGGACTCCCTGCCGTGTTTACAAAGGCGTTGCTGGGCAGCACTGCCGGGAGTTGTTTACAGCTACACAGCAACTGTGGCATCCCGTGTTACGTCACTGGGGGGAAAGGGGTGTCTACCTAGCGTTGCACACTGATGGATGGAGGGGGGGGTATGTGATGTCACTCTTGAGATCACAGAGTTCACGTGACCCCTACCTCCTGCTACGCCATCCACTTCACAATATATAGATTTTTATGTTTTTCCCCCTGAATCGATTCCAGACTTTATAGAATTGTTATTGTTGTGCTTTAAATATTCTTACCTGAGGTTATAACTTCATGATGCAAAGTCATGAAGGATCTGGTAGTTTCTCTTTTGGTCAGGAAATTCACAACTTTTATGGAAAGCATAATTCATTACACTGTTCATGCCACATGACCCTATCCTGAGCCAGCTGAATCTAGCCCACACTGTCTCTGTTACATGGTATTCAATTAAACCAACTCCATCTATGTCAAAGTCTCTTCATGATGGCCCTGTCCTTTCAGGTTAAGAAAATGTTTCAATTATTTTATGGAACTTCACCTTGAATGGTGCCATCTGTAGTCTGTGTTTTTTTATTTCCTTCTCACTTGATTGTAATGTAGCTTTCTGTAAGTTGGTATTGAAAGGAATTCTTAGTTTGCTAATTCGTTTTAAATTTTGATGTAATATTGATTTATTCATTTCTTTTAGGTTATCACTGTCTTGTTTGCTAAATGTATCAGCCTCCTTTCATTACTTCAGTTTCTCATGCAGTCAGAAATATTATGTCATATTACTAAAAAAAATGTAAAGGTATACCTGTAACAGGCCGTGAAGGCCCATAGGGTTGTGAGACATCAAGGCTCCCACATTTTCTCTAGACAGTCGACTCACGGATCATGATAAGGTTGTCAGCCTTATGCACTGGCTGCCCTTTACACCCAGGAAGAATCCTGGTACTCATTTCTGTTAGAGGCTGAGTTGATCCCAGGGCCATAGTGCAGCTGCAAGGATTAGGTAAATTGAAAAAATGTACCTCATCTGGAATTGAACCCGCAACCTTCCAGTGTGTAGCATAGTGCCTCAACCAACTAAGCTACCCTGTGCCCCCCCATAGTCATATTCTGTGTGTGAAATTATTTTATTTTATTCTATCACCACATTAAGTATAGCATAGTTGGTTTAGCGACTATCTATGGGCTGGATAATTGAGAGGTTGGAGTTCAAAACCTGGTATGGTCAAGAATTTTCTCTTCTCCATATCGTCCATACTTTCTCCAGGGTCCACCCACCCTCCTGCCCAATGCGTACCAGGGGATCTTTCCCTTGGGATAAAGCAGAAGTGGTGTGAAGCTGACCACTCACCTCCAGCTAATGCTGAAGTCAAGAAAATGTGGATCTATATATCCACTCCACCATAAATCTTCATTGCATAGTGCTTAATTAGTTAAGCACAGGAACAGCTTTTACCACTGTAGGTGGTATGAACACACCACACCTTCTTTGTTTGTTACAGCATGGTTCAGCTCATTGAGCCATCAGCAGTTATTCGACTTCTTTACATTCGCCTGTATTCATCTGCTAGTATTCCTACATTGGCCTGTATTTACATATAAAAATACTGCCATTAGGTGTAAAATTGTGTGTTCAGTAAGATTAAATATAAGGGCAATCAAATGAAAATGGGTCACCACGCATAACTCACATGGCGTGCAAGTTGGTAACAGTGGAATTTGCTCACAGTACGAACATCTGGTGGGGACTTGGAAAAGCACAGTGCCAACGTGCCCTTGAACACTAGTCATTTGTTCATTGTGCTGGAAGTAAGGTTAGCGCTATGTGTAGTTGTCCAACATCAGTAATGGAGGTTTGTAAAGGAGAGCAGTGAAGTGTAGTGCATTTTTTGACAGTTGAAGGAGTAGGAGGATGAGAAATTCATTGTCGCATGTCTGTTGTTTACGGCGAACACAGCATGTCACGTTCACGTATGCTGGCCTGGCATAAGAGATTCCGAGAGGGACGTGTGTCACTGCAAGATGATGCTCGCCCAGGGCAGGCTCATCATGTCATCACTCCTGATGTTATTGCTGCATTGGATGGTCATATCTGGGCAAACCGATAGATCACTGTGGAAGAAATTAGTCTTTTTATGGGAATAGTGACAGTTCTGTACATGCCATTGTGACAGAACACCTGCTGTACCACAAAATCTGCATGCAGTGGGTTCCACATCAACTGACGGAGGAAAAGAAGACCCAGAGAATGGCTGCATCACTGGGTCACTTGCAACGATACCGTGAAGAAGAGTATGGTTTTCTGTCCCGTATTGTCACTGGGGATGAAACATGGTGCCACCATTTTGAACCCAAGAGCAAACGGCAGAGCCAGCAGTGGACACATGTGAATTCTTTCCCACTGAAGAAATCCAACGCCGTACACACAAGTTCCGGTAAAGTGATGATGACCTTCTTCGACTACAAGGGCCCTCTGCTTGTCGAATTTCACGAGCATGAGGACAATCAGTGCACAGCGCTATGAAGACACTTTGCAGAAACTGAGACGTGCCATAAAGTCAAAACGCCCTGGGATGCTATCGAACGGCAGTATCCTTCTTCATGATAATGCGCGCCCCCACACTGCCAACTCTGTGAGGAATACGCTACAGAGATTGGGTTGGGAAGTGCTTCAACATCCCCCCTACAGCCCATATCTGTTGCCATGTGGTTTTCACATTTTTGGAGACCTGAAGAGAGACATTCGTGGACATCCGTTTGCATCGGACAAAGACGTGTGTGGCTGGGTAAAGATTTGGTTCCGTAGACATCCCAGAAGCTTTTTCAAGGCTGGAATTGACCGTCTTATCTCCCAGTGGGATAAATGTATTATATGTTTTGGAGATTACTTTTGAGGTAAGAAATGTTCTTTAATATGTTTCGGCTTCTGACCTGTTTTCATTTGACTACACCTCATACAAGGTTTATTCAGAAAATAACCATTGTTTATTTTAGGCAACTAATGTAGGAGCAGGGGAGAGGTTATGCATGTGAGGTAATGTCACATGACTCACGCCTTGTAAACCATCACAATACTGGTTACCTAATGTTTGTTCTTGTCTCTACAGAGTGAGTTATGTTTTCTGCAATTGATAATTCTACCAGAATCAAAATTCGAGCTGTTATCCACTTTCTTCACACTAAGAACATGAGTGCTATGGACATCCATTGTGAATTATGAGTAGTTAATGACTAAAATGTAATGAGTGAAGGAACTATAAGATAATGATGAAGAATGTTCAAAGATGTGCTTGCCAACAGATGTTGACGATGCAGAGTGAAGTGGTCAGCCATCTGTAGTGAAAGATAATCTTGTTCAAAGTGTTGACCAAAGAAAAAAAATTCTGAAAGACAGCTCTTCAAAATTTCAGAACTTTAATATGAATTTCCAGAGATTTCACACTTTTCTGTATGAAAATATCACAGTTAGGCTAGGCTATTGTAAGTTTTGAACAGGATGTTTTTAAAAAAATGCAGAGAATGGCTTTAGCTTTCTAGAATGATACCACAAAGATGGTGGTGTATTGCTTAGTAATAGGTGATAAAACCTGGGTTTCATTTGTGAGTGCTGAAACCAAATAACAGTCAAAGCAGTGGGTGCATACACATTCACCAAACAAGCCGAGATTTGGTGGCAGCTGTTTTCTGGGACAGGAAAGGAGTGCAGATGGTGGAATTCATGATAACATGAGAAGTATGTTGAAAACAAAAAAAAAAAAACTGTAGGGCCATTCAGAATAAAAGGCATGGAATGCTGACATCTGGTGTAGTGCTTCTCCATGACAATGCCGCTCTTCATGTGAGTATAGCAGCTCTCACTTGAGCACTACTGGAGCATTTCAACTGAGAGTTGTTTGACCACCCCCCTTGCAGCCCTGATCTTGCTCAGAGCAACCGTAACCTGTTTACCTACCTGAAAAACTGGTTAGGATCACAGCACTTCAACAGTAATGAGGAGTTGATGGAAGGTGTTGAAATATGGCTTAGCTCATCACAGGTGGCAGACTTCTTTGTATGTACATTTTTTTTGTATATACTGTAATACATTTATTCTCATTGCTTGTTTTATCAACAGCTTCCCAGCAGTTATTTTCTGAATGTCCCACATATTAATTGTTAAATGTTAAATCATTAATATTTAATGTATATAAAATGGTTTCTTATGTTTTTTGTGGGTGTACTAGTAGTGTGTAGATGTGTCTCTTCTGCTGATGTATTTTCTTGAGTTTCTTCTTTATCTGGAATGTGAACACATTTTTAAGACAATATATATGTATGTGTCAAACAAACAACCCACAGAGGTCACATGGAGAGGTTCAATCTCAAGAAATGAAGTAGAGGATAAAGTGCAGTATCGTGTTGAAATC